TTCTACGAGGCACTGCATTCCATCCTGGGAGCGGCCGCCACCACTACCCCACCCCTGACCGTGGACTCCGAGGATGGGATCATGTCGGACATGACAGCGGACGGGGAAGAGGAGGAAGGAGATGAGGAGGACGAGGCAGTCGACAGCGCTGGCACCGCTGATTTCCCCGACAGCCAGGAGCTCTTCATCACCCTTACCGAGATCCCGTACCAACCGTCCCCATCCCTTACCCCGGACACAGAATCAGGGGACGGATCAAGCAGTAAGTGCTGTAAACATGTAAACATTTATTTAAAACAGAACGGTAATATTTATACTATTAACAATGTATATTTATAAAAGTGCTGTAAACTAGTAAAAAAATAATCAGGTACAAAACAGGAATATTTACAAAGGTAACAAATGGGTTTTGCATGATTTCTCTGTCTTAGGCTCTTCTCAATTTAGTCCCAAGTATTTTAAAAAAATTTCACAATGTCCGTTACTACATGATTCCCAGGCCCAAGACGCTCCACTCCAAAGTCCCAGTGCACCTACGCGAAAATCCGGTCAATGTGGCCGGGGATCGACGAGAAATCCTCGTAGGAGAACTCCTCGTAGGTCTCGTGGAGGTAGAGCTCAAGCCTGTTGATCAGGTTCCGGGGTAGGGCGATCTTAGTGGGCCCTCCGTGGTAGCAGACATGTCCCCTCCATGCCACAATCAGGTACTCGGGGATCATGGCCCGACATAGCATGGCGGCATACGGCCCCGGTTTCTGCATGCTTTCCCGCAGCATGCGTTCTCTCTGGGTGTCCGGGATCCTCAGGAGGGTGATGTCGCTCATGACGCCCTGCTTTGAATTAGGGAGGGGACTGTTAGTATTGGGACTGCTTTACAGCCACGCGGTGGAGGGAGAGGGGCAGCATACAGGGATCTTTCCCTGGGACAGCCGCGAGGGGGTGGGACAGGGGCAGAGTTGATGCTGTCCTGATTGCTGGCAGCAGAGACTGGCATTGCTTTCAATGTGAAAGGAGGCCAGTGCTACAGCTGGAGTTTTAAGCAGCCACAAGTCTGCGGCTTACCATTATTGCCCGCTCCAGAAGTTCAGGTCTCCAGCCACAGTTCTCTGAACACTCCAAGACCTCCGCAAGTCCACAGGCACTGAAGGCGACGGCCGAAAATTCGACCTTGTCCTGAGTGCGCATGTGAGAGGTTCAGTGCATGGTCTTGTTCACAGAGAAAGACTAGGTTCTTTGTATACAATTTCATTTATCTGTCTCAGGAATTCACTCCCTTTTTAAAATTCACACAGACACATCTGCGACTGTCTCCCAACCCAGCCTGTCAGCACACTCCCAGAGGCTAGCGCAGATTAGGCGGAGGAAGAAGAAGACGCGTGAAGACATGTTCACAGAACTAATGGGCTGCTCCCGAGCCCAGGCAGCCCAGCAGACACAGTGGAGGGAGAACTTGTCACAAATGCACCGAGCAGTCATGGAACGGGAGGAGAGGTGGCGTCAGGAGGACCAACAGGCTACTGAAAAGCTGCTTGGACTAATGAGGGAGCAAACGGACACGCTCCGGCGCCTTGTGGATGTTCTGCAAGACCGGAGGCAGGAGGACAGAGCCCCGCTGCAGTCTATCTGTAACCGCCCTCACCCGCCACCAAGTCCCACACCACCCTCACCCAAAGTCCAAAGAAGGAGGGGCGGCAAGGGCCGTTAAAACTTTCAATCAACCCCTGCAGACTGCTCTAGCAGTAGAAGGCTGACATTCCCCAAAATTTCATAAGTCCTTTCCTACCCACCTCACACAAGCCCCCGTCCAAGTTTCACCCCCCACGTTTCATGTCTGGTTCGCAATAAAATGTTTGTTTCTGTTCATTACTGTTTCGGTCAGGTTCTTTTGAGGGAGAGTCTGTCTGGAGGGGGGGAAGGGGCTTGGTAATTGGACAGGACAGTCACCTTTAGCTGGCTACAGAGGCGGGGTCAGGTCCAGCATCAGGACACATACACAGTGCAGTCACTGGTTACCCTGGTCAGTCTGGGAGGTGCTTTTCATGTTTTGGGGGGGGGGGGGG